GAGGCGACGAAATTCGTTTCGTTTCCGCGTCGAGGACTGGGCGCTTGAGAAAGGAGTCAGGACCCCTGGGGACAAACTTTTGCGCGCGCTTTCCGCTGCGACAGGCGTTAAGTCCGGGGGGCCCCGCGAGGCCCCCGCGGGGCCTCAGCGGGCGTCGCGTTCTGCGCGGGCGTCTGAATCCCCAGGGCCTCCGGTGGACCGACCGCGAGGGCTTCGACGAGCTTTTCGCCCAGCTCTTGCGCAGTGCGCAGTGTCTTCGGGTCTCGGGAGTCTGAAGTTCGCGATGCAGCTGCTCTGTCTGCCGACGGCGGCGGTGCTAGAGCCGCTCCGCAACTGGCCCGCATTCGTCGGATGACCCGGGCGTGGGGGGGGGGGGGGGGGCGCCGGGCGGCAAGTGTACGTTTGGCGAATCATTGGCCCCGACGGCGCGGGCCATCGCGATTCCACAACTTGCCCGAGGCTAATTTGGCGGAACATTTAGGAGGATGTATTCGAGCAGAGGGGGGGGGACATGGAGGTGGCACAAGAACAGGTCTCTCGCGTCTGCCCCATCTCGTCAGATGATGTGCAGCATCGCTCGGGCAATGGACAATGGCTCGCTGCGCCCCTGGGTGGTGCCTGGAACCGTTCCGGCTGCAATTCTGGGACGCGAGAAAGATTCATGTCCGGGCCCCGACGGAGTTCCTTGCTATTCGACTGCCTCTGGCGACGCAGGTCTGCAGCGGTTGTTCGAGGCGTGCTTGGGTTTGGTTGGCTCCCAGAGATTGCAGCGCGAGTTTAAGATTAGTGATGCTGCCTTCTTGTCTAGGAGAAGCGCGGGGGATGGGGGTCTCGCGTCGAGGGGGCCCGGAGGTGCCCGTCCGTGATTGTTGTCGGATGCCGATGAAGAAGTTTACCAGCGCGCGCATTGCGTGGCCGTAATCCCAAGTTGCAGGTGGCCGCGCAGCCAGTAGCTAGCGCCCAGAGGGGCCCCTTCGAGGCCGGCAGCGGGCCGGCAACATCATAGGAGTAGACGGCGCGCTTCTGCCGGGCAATGCCGCGCGTGGGCAGAGGAGGACAGACGCGGCCCTGATCGGCTTCAAAGCTGCGTTTCCTAGCATCAACTACACTCTTATCTGGGCGGCGTCGCGCGCGCGGCATCCCTGCGTGCATCATTCTGAGCGCCGTGGATCTTCATCAGAACAGTATCATACCCATATCCCTTTTGGTTTCTGAACTATTTCGCGCCCATCTATTACGCGGCATTAAACAGGGCTGCCCACTGAGCGGCCTGCCGCGCAGTCTCTGCTTCGAAGCAGCGGGAAGGGGGAGTTGCAGGGGGCAGTTTCCTCTGCGGCGGTCGCGTCGAGCTGGGGCATGATCAGTGCGTTGCCGCGCGTCGTTCGCGTTCTCGTCTTGAGTGGGAAGCGGCGCTGGATTCACTGCGAGCCTGCAGGAGTGCCGGCTCGTCTTCCCCGATGCGCGCGCCTCCTCGAATGCCATCCAGCTCTGCCAGGGTGCGGGTATCAGGGCCAGGAAGTTTAACATCTCCCGCTGCGGCTGGTACTTGGGGGTCGGCGTCTGGATTGGAAGCGCGGGGGCCTCTTGGAAGCCCTCCCCGGTCAAGCTGGGGAGCGGCGGCTGCCGAGTCACTTGGGGTTGGTTCGTCGTCGAGCATTGCGTCGCGCAGCGCGCGCGGTCTGCCAGTTGCATCTCATGCTAAACGAACGCGCCGCCTGTTTGACCGCGCGAGCGCCGTGGAGAAGGATGGCCTGCAGCTGCGCGCGCGCGCCTCGTCGCGGCACCTGTCCGAAGGCTTTCTTTGGCCCGAAAAGCTTCGGACAGGTCGAGGCGAGACGTCTCGACGCCCGCGCGCGAGCCTGCGCGCTCAGATCTTCGACTCGCAGCACCGCGTTTGAGGGGCGCGGCTGGGGGCATCGTTAAGCTTCGGGCCAGAAATTGTCGTGCGGGTGGGCCCCGAGAACTGAGCTCGCGCGGGGTGGCGGTGCCAGGGCGTGGTGGAAATCGTCAACAGATGAACAGTTTAGTCTTGCACGCCTCTGGGGTCGGCGGTTTTGATGAAAAAGACGGTCAGCATTTGCTTATGGCGAAGCAACATCGCACGTTTGCAAAATGTGTCATCCGACTTCGTAACATGAGCTCGCTAATCGGTTTGGCTGTGCACTCACAGAATACATGCTTCACACATATCCTGCTCTATCAAAGGCAGCTCAACGCTCGAAGGAAGTCATGTTATCCTCGCCCTCATGGCTGGGGATGCAAGCTTGCATCAACTCGGATGGTTCGAACCCAGCTAAGATGGAGAGCTGGCCTAGGTCACAGTGTCGCTTGGGAAATTCCTGATGACGTTCGACTAGTGGGCAGCGGGCACAGAAATGGGGGCATGCAAGCTGCATTCAAGCAGTTGCGCCGACTATTGGGCGCCATTTTTTAAATATAAAAGAGCTGCACTATTGACTCTGGAGCCTTTGTTCACAAGCGGGAGACATGATTGTGGACAGAAGCGGGCTCATATGCATTCCTAGATGCCGCGCGTGCCAGTGATGCCGACACCGATTCAACGGCACCCGCAAACATTACAGCGCCCCTTTCCCAACTCACAAAAGGCACTGAGGATCTCTGAGCGGACAGCTGGTGTCACGAAAGTGATGCGATTATCACCTCGCTTAATGGACGCCATGCACGATTGGTGCGCCAACCAGAAGAAGTGCGCATGGACAGAACAATTTGCACACACGGTGGCTTCCTGCGTCATACCTCCTCCCACTTGCTCCGCCTACTAATAGCCTCCCCCTTCTTCGTCGTCCTCTGCCCCTCCTCTTCCTCCCCTCCATCCTCTTCCCCTCTGGGTTGCGCTGTGCGTTACTGGGATTATATACGTGGCCTTTTGGGCCATCTGGGGTTGTCCGCGCAGCGCCCTTGCCCCTTCGCCTCGCCCTCCCCGTCCTCTTCGTACGCTTTCGCTCGCATTTGCGGGCCGAATTCCCTGACATGTTCGTTGCGTGTTGGCGCGCCGAGGTGCGATGTGGTTGTTCTCTCTTATTTGCCCATGTGCCATTTCAGAACAAAACAAAAAACACTCCCCTCCAACCTCCCCCAGTCCCTTCCGCCTCCTTCCTCCCCCACCTCGCTCCCGAGTTTTTTTCTCCATATTTTGCCATCTCCTTTTTGGCCGTCCCGTTCGAAGCAAGCTACGGATGGCCTCCCCCGCGAAAGCCTACGAGCGCCGAGGGCCTCTCTAGTCCGCGGCGAGCCCCGCAAAACGGCGGGCAAGGAGGAGGAGTGGGGGGGGAGGATAACCAGACGCAGGAGGAGGGAGAGGAAGAGACAACGTGGCACACACAGGCGTTGTGACGCACACGGTTGGTGCACTATACAAAAACACCGCGGTGTGCACGGGCGATGTGGTGAGGGTTTTCGCGGTCGTGTGGCGGGCCCCGCAAAAAAAAGGTTCGCAAGTTACTGATGTGCCCGTTATCACTTATTATTGTAGACAGGCGTTGTAGTGCACGGAAGAATGTGGCGTGCGCAGGCGCTGTGGTGCACATGGTTGCTGTGGTGCACGCAGGCGCTGCGGTGTACACAAGCGCTCTGGCGCACGCAGGCAATGTGGTGTACACAAGCGTTTTTGCGCACACGGTTGCTGCAGTATAGATATTGCGGCGTACATGGGCGACGTGGTGGCGTTGTGCACGTAGCTGTTATGGTGCACTGAAGCGGCGTTGTCTTGCACAAATGCATTTGGCATTGTCGCGTGCGCAGGGATTGCATCGCGCGCATGCAATTGATGTGTCGATGGCGGGGACGCACCCTGGCTGGCGCACGCCGCGGCCGCTGTTACCGTTACCCGCCGGCCCAACCCGCCCCCCCTCCCCCATCGGGTACCAGCCATTACCCAAAATAAGAATTAAGAACAGCCTTCAGCATAATGCGAACAAGTCAAGACATCTGCATGTTTATATCATTTGCCTACAGGTACGAGTCATTGTGTGACCTCCATCAGTTGTGTTTTCTGTCCTTGCCGAGCAAACATGCGTCTTCTTTTTTATCGCATCTGAGCGCAGGACTGCTCTCCGTAAAGATGTAGATTGCTGGTTTGGCCCGCGACTCATTCATAGCTTTTACTCGTGCTTGTATGTTGATGTTACTTGCGATCTTACTCAGGCTGGCAGTTCACAGTTATGTGGACTGAAACTAAACATCTGCGCCGTTTTCACTGGACATCGCCGCCGCTCTCCTTACCGGTATATCATCATTTGTATTATGCAAAACCGCCGACATGTTTCGCGGGGACCCCTGCGTGGGCCATTCTGCAAAGCCGGCCATCCTCCATACAGATTGCGAAACGGTGGTTGGGCCTGTGTGGGCAGCACAGGCAGATGGCAGCACCCGCCGTCGCACTGACCGCCACAAGCCGCTCCTCCCAAAAGTGAGGAGTGTTCCGCGCGGCCCCGCCGGGGGCTTCTGGCGTAGGCCGGACACGGTCCATCTTCGGAGGTCCCAGCCTTCAGGTGCTTGACTGTCGTGCGCGCCTTTTTGTTCTGCATCATGCGTTCCGCGCTGCCCCATCAGCAAGGGTTGGTATTGTTGGGCCGTCGAAGAAGGAACCCTTTTCGTTGGGGAGGGGCTCAGTGCTCCTCCATTGTTTTGCAGTTTGTCTCGGGTTGTCCTTAGGTTTTTCTATTGGAAATCGAAGCTTAACGCATGGAAAAACAGGGGGTTTCTTATTTCGGTTTCCTTGTGACAGCGTTTCGACTGTAGTAATGTTTCATGTGCGATCTAGCTCGTCTTTCGCTGAGTTGGACCAAGTGGCCAGAGGTTCGTCCGAATTTCTTTGGTCTGCGTTCGGCTAAGTTGCTGGCGCCTTTGGCGTCGCCCCTGGCGCTTTCCGCGCGCCAGGGCGCGCCAGGGAGGGGGGTCCAGCGCGTCTCCAGGGGATTGCAGTTGTTATGTTGATCCAGTTAGAGTCAGAGTGGCCCGCCGGTGGAGTGGCCCCACAGGTCATCAACTCTGGCGTCCAGCCGCTCCAGAACCTGTCAGTGCAGCAGCAGGCACCTGGCCCCGCGCCGCCGCTGCAGCGCCCCAGCCCCTCCCGCCCTGGAAGCCATCCGCCTGGAGGCTGTTCGCTCGGTCCGGCGGCGCTCGCGGGCCCAGATCTCCGATGTCAGCCAGCAGTTGTCCGTCGATGCGGGCCCCCTGTCGCATGTTCTTCCGGGCCAGGGGCCTGCACAGAATGTATTCGGTGGGGAGGCGCCCTGTGGGGAGGGGCTCGTCGGGGCTTCTGGGGCTGCGCAGTGGCAACAAGTCCAATAGTCCGATGGCTAGGAGCGGGATGGCGCGAGGGGTGCCGCCTTCTGAGAAGCGGGAGGGGCTCTTGTAAGGCAGGGGCCTTCTTAGAGGTGCCCGGAGGCACCTGAGTAGCCATTCCAGGAAGCCCCCGAGCCCTTCGAAGAAGGCCCCTGCCTTCTGAGAGCTCCCCGCCTTTTCAGAAGGCAACCTCTAGCGCGCCACTCCTTTCTGTGCGCCCGTCGCCAATCGGTGTTTGGAGGATGCTTTCGGCCGAGATTAGCGGACCAAGCCGCGTAGCAACACGCAACAGAGTAACCGAGTGCTCCGGATGATAAATCATACACCCCCTTTTCCCCCTATATTTTTTTATCCCGCTTCAATCGGATTTAATTGTGGAGAGGGGCACGGAGGCCGAACTTGACAATCCACGGGGGAAGTTGCGAATTGAAGTTGCTATCATCTCATGCTGACTAGCAACAGCATCAAAAACGCTGAGCATGGCCATGGTGGCCTCACCATATCAGCTGCCGCAATCACGAACGGCCAAGGACCTCTCTTGCGCAGGCAAGTTGTAGCCACGAGCCTCGAGATCTCTCGTGCCAGTCTAGTGCCAATATCTACAAGGTCAGTCCACACGAGCGCCCAGGATCACCATCATCATCATCATCGTCATCATCATCATCGGAGGTGAGGGGGTGAGATCGAAGTGGAGCGGAGAGCCCCCCTACCAGGAAATCGATTTCGGTTTCGTGTTCGTGCGTGCCGTGCGCGCGGGCGAGGCGAAGCTGCGTGGGCGGGCGAGAGGAAAGTCTCCTGTGGCTGAGGCGCGGCCGGACCAAATGTGTCTCTTCCGGGCGGCCGGTGGCGCGCGGTGTCCCGCCGGTGTCCCGCTGGTGTCCCGTCGGTGTCCCTGTGGCTGAGGCGCGGCCGGACCAAATGTGTCTCTTCCGGGCGGCCTGTGGCGCGCGGTGTCCCGCCGGTGTCCCGCTGGTGTCCCGTCGGTGTCCCTGTGGCTTAGGCGCGGCCGGACCAAATGTGTCTCTTCCGGGCAGCCGGTGGCGCGCGGTGTCCCGCCGGGGTCCCGCTGGTGTCCCGTTGTTGTCCCGTCGGTGTCCCGATGATGATGTGGATGATTATGATGATGGTGATGATGATGATGATGGTGATGATGGCGATGATGATGATGATGATGATGATGATGATGATGCTGGTGTTGTTGTTGATGATGATGATGACGTCGATTGTGATATCGATTGTGACATCGATAGTGAGACCGAATGTGAGATCGATTGTGAGATCGATAGTGAGATCGATTGTGAGATCGATAGTCAGATCGATTGTGAGATGATGATGGTGATGATGGTGATGATGGTAATGATGGTGGTGATGGTGATGATGGTGATGATGGTGACGATGACGATGATGATGATGATGATGATGATGATGATGATGATGATGATGATGATGATGATGATGATGATGATGATGGCGTCGATTGTGAGATCGATTGGGAGTTCGACTGTGAGATCGGTAATCAGATCGATTGTGCGATGCTGATTGTGATGATGGTGATGATTGTGATGATGGCCATGATGGTGATGATGATTGTGATGATGATGACGACGTTGATGATGATGATGATGATGATGATGATGATGATGATGATGATGATGATGATGATGATGATGATGATCGAGCTCGACTGTGAGACCGAATGTGAGATTGATTGCGAGATCGATTGTGATATCGATAGTGAGATCGACTGTGAGATCGAAAATGAGATCGATTGTGAGATCGATAGTGAGACCGAATGTGAAACCGAATGTGAGATCGATAGTGAGATCGATTGTGAGATCGATCGTGAGATGGATAGTGAGACCGAAGTTGAGACCGATTGTGAGATCGACTGTGAGATCGATTGTGAGATCGATAGTGAGATCGACAGTGAGACCGAATGTGAGACCGAACGTGAGATCGATTGTGAGATCGATTGTGAGATCGATAGTGAGATCGATAGCGAGATCGATAGTGATATCGATAGTGAGATCGAATGTGAGATCGATTGTGAGATCGATAGCGAGATCGATTGAGTGAGACGTTGGTTCCCCCTCCCCCCTCACCTCCTTATCACCCGCAGGGTGGTCGTATAGGTAACTTATAACTAACATCACCTTCCCTTGGAAAATCGTTGATTCTCCCCGCCAGGCCCCCGAACTTTATTAGCCCTGAGTGATTATTAACTGGGGTAGTCGATTAGCCTGCACCCCCCTGGATTACAAAGTGCGGACCACAAAGGCAGCGCAAGAGGGGTCGTAGGGCTCTCGTTAGTCCGCGGTTCCCCAGAACAATGTTGCAGAGACCGCCCTGGCGATTCTCCGGTGCATCCCTCGCCCATTTTATATTGTAATCGCCAAGTGGGGTGAGGACCGGGGAATCACAATTTCGCCCATTTCCTCTAGAAAAACTCTCTGGTGGCACTTCCAGGCGACCGGAGAATTTGTTTGTCAACCCGAGAATAGCGATTTCGCATGGGAATCCCTCAGACAAAAATTATTTGGTCCCATTTCCAGCCACCAGAGAATAGTGATTTCGCTTGAGGTACCCATTGCATGCGGCCAGAAGGTGCCGATTTCGCTTGGGACGTCCTCGCAGCCACATGTGCAGTCCCCTGTGATGCCGCCAGACAGATCCGATTTCTCGCCAGACTTCCTCCGCGTTCCGCTCGCGCTTGCACTGGCGCGCCGACACTGCGAACTCCGTCTTCTCATTTCTGTCCATTTCTGCCGTCTGACTTCCCATTTGCCTCGCATTGCACGTTGTCCTGGAAAGCCAGATCCCAGGGGCTGTCGCCTCGCCCAGCCCGTCCGATCTAGCCCCGACGGTCGCTCGCAGGGGTGGTCGTTCTTTCGGTTCGCGAGGTCGCCTCGGAACCATCTTGGGGCCACGTTGTGGTCCTGTTCGGGTCCTGCAATCCTCTGGGGATGGCATGGGGTTCTTGGGGCCACCTTCAGGTGGCGCTGGGGCCGCGAGGCCGATCCAAGATCGATCGAGGACTGAGGATTCAGTGGCGAACGTAGGCCGACATCCGCGATCTGGGGTCGACCGAAGATGGTAGAACCGGATCCTGGATCTGAAATCAACCCTGGATCTACGATCGATCCAGGTTTCGAAGATTGAGGGTCCAGGTTCGAGGGTCCAGGGTCGATCGAAGATCCAGGGCCCTGGTTCCTGGATCGTTGATCTCGGACCCTCGTTTCCCGCGTCGCTGTCAGCGGCCCGTTCTCTCGTTCTCCCCAAAGAAACGCACCCCCGCGGCGAAGCATGTGTTGGATATTTTAGTGTTGCGTTCGTTTCAAGCGAGGAACCGCCGAGGGCGCGTCGAGACCCCTTTATGCGGCATTTAGCAACTCGGGAACACCAGCGCCACGGCCTCAGCGGCAAAGACAGGCGCCAGGTTCCCCATTGATTGGAGGTCCATATAGGGGTCCGTGCGCGCATTCGGCGGTTCCCACCCTGGGGGAGACTGAGTGATTCTTCGCGAGAGGGCCCCAGCGCGGGCCGAGAGTGGGTTGGGTCTGAATGAGTCTGGATATGAGTAACAGTAGGCCTGGGTATGCGTGGGTCTGGGCGTGAGTGAGCCTGGAGGAGTGAATGTGAATCAGCGTGCGTCTGAGAGCAAGCGAACTTCAGTGTGAGTGTGTCTACGCATGAGCGGGGTCTGAACATGAAGGAGGTGCGCGGGCGTGGGCAAATATGGATATCAGTAGGTCTGACCGTCAGTGGTTGAGTAGAATCGTGTCTGAGCGCGAGTGGATGTTGGAACGACTGGGTCCTGGCATGAGCCAGTCTGGGTATGAGCGGCCGCGTATCCATGAGTCTGCGCGCGAGCAAGTATGGACATGCTTTGGTCTGGATTTGATCGTCAGATGATGAGTGGGTCTGCGACCTTGATCGTTAGATGATGCGTGGATCTCCCCTTGATTGGACCTGGGTGCGTTGGAGTCTTCCCATGGAGCAGTTGGAGGGGTCCGCACTGTTCAATCATGGCGATGGTAAGGCGACGAGCCCCTGGAGGATGTTCAATTCATGAGCGATGCGATTGTTTCCTAGCCATTTTTATTTCCAGGGTCGGAATCGTAGTCTGATTCGGACGCCGCGTTGTCCAGATTGTGCCAGCGTTTCGCTCCGTGTCCCCCCCCCCGAGCCAACGAACACAGTCTTCGCTGTCCCAATCTGGCAGACCCCCCGCTTCTTCGCGACTTCGGGGTTCGAGGGAAGAGACACAATCACCATGGCCAAGATGTCGCGGGATAGTGTTGACGCCGATATTGATCAATGATGGTCCTTGCCGGCCGCAGCCGATCCGCAGGGATGATCCACGGATTGGCGATGATCAACATGGACAATTCGGCACGGACGTTTCCGCGTTCAGCCTTTGTTATCGTCATCGTTCTCCCCCCCCCTCCACGATTGTTATCTAAACCCCTGTCCGCCCTGACCCCATTGTACGGTAGGCTTGTGTCGTGTCGACCACGGCGGCGACTCTGGCGTTGCAGTCAAGGCTGAGCGCCGCCAGTAGAAACCAGGATTGCCCGTCATCGAGCATTCACTTTACCAAAACGCCGCGATCGTTCAATCTACTGTCCAGAACAACGCGTGTCAACAGGAGCACACTTCTTCAGCGTCTTTATGTTGCGTTGGTCCACTTAGCTATTCCCTTCTGGTCGCACGAACGTCATTTCTGATGCCCTTTCCAGCCCTTCGCATCTCTCTCTGTCTCTGTGTCTCTCTCTTCTCTCTCTCTCTCCATCTCTCTCTCTCTCTTTCTCTTTCCATCCCCCTTTCGCTCCCGTGGGAGTCCTCTCTCACTGTATGCGAGGTCTTCATTACACTCGCCTGAGTCAATAGTCAATGGACGGCCTGCCCAATCGCGCCCACCGCACAGCCCAGGTCAAGTCTGCGGTCCTCCCGACCGGCATCGACGTCGACGGCAGAGGCCGCATGGAGTCAATGCTCGTCCTTTGACGTGCTTTTTTTGCCGCCCCCTCGCCTGTGCCTCCCTCCCTCCAGTGTCTCTTCTTAGGAGCGGTCTTGTGCACAGACCCCGCAGAACCCTCCAAGACAGTTCGAATCAGACCCCCAGAAAATTCAGAACATCCCCTTTCATGATGAAGGTATGAATATTCAGTTGTTTGCCGATCTTCTCGCAGTGGTGGAGGTATCGAGACCACTTCAATCAAGGGGAGAGAGAGAGAGCGAGAGAAAAATCTATGTATATATATATATAGAGAGAGAGAGAGAGAGAGAGAAAGAGAGAAAGAGAGAGAGAAACAACGACACAATATTTGACGCTTCGCGTAGTCCAGCCGGCACATCCAGAAACTACTGCCAGACGAAGAGTTTTGATCAGGAAAGGGTAGGAGCATGCAGTGGAGCAGCTGCCCGGAAGGATCGGTGGAAAATTGAATCCATCCAGACATGATGCCTTGGCGTGGTGCCATGATCACGGGAGTGTCTGAGCACGCAGGTGGGAACATAATTACGTCGATTCATTCAAAGTGTCTGATGTCGCGGTTGCTATATTGGGCCGCATCGGTGTTTCGTTTTTGCCATCTTTGCGTCCGAGATCTCTTGCTCGAAGCGTTGTTGGAGGACTCAGGGCCTTCATAGGGGTCGTCTTGGGGCCCTCTGGGCTGGGTGGCCGCTATCCTTCGAAAGAGGAGGTGGAGGAGGAAATTGATGACGAGAAGGATGAGGAAGGAGGGAGGAGTAGGAGGAGGAGGAAGAAGAGGAGACGCTCCCAAGCAGCCCAAGTCAGCCTTCCGACGGCTCTCGAGGCTCCCAGGTAACCTCCAATAGACCCCAAGAGACGTCCGAGGGGCGTCCCGGGACGGTCCGAAGAAGCCAAAATCGTAGATTTGCGGTGTTTTTTTGATGGTTTTGGCTTGTCGCGTTTTCGAGTTTCCAACGCTCCAAGTGCGCCGAAGAGGCTCCCAAGAGACCCTCAGGACGGCCCCAAGACGGGCAAAGAAGGCTCCAAGACTGCCGAAGAGGCGCCGAGGACAGCCCCGGACCACCCCTACCAAGATGGTCCCAAGAGCGGGAGCAGGAGGCTTTCAGAGACCTCTGCGAGGCCTCCGGGACCCCCCAGAGGCCCCCAACACACCCCCGATCCCTGAGAGGCCCCAGCAAAAAACCCGACGAGGCTCCAAGAACAGCCCAAGAGAGTTGCGAGAGCCGTCCCGAGAGAGCCCAAAGATGGTAACATCGTTGATTTCCAATGGTTTTTCTAATGTTTTCCGCCATTCACGTTTTCCCGCTTCCATCCCTCGAAGACCGGAGATTTGGAAAAAAGCAAATTCCCAAAATTCCCTCTCTTTTTTTTCAAAGTGGGACTCCTACTCGAAGGTCCCACACATGCCCTGACATCTGGCCGGTACCGCGCCTCCCGGCTTCCCGGGGGACCCCCAAGACGCCCAAGGACAGCGCAAGACGACCCCAATGAGCCCCCAGAACGTAAAGAACGGCCCAACACGCTCCCGCGCAGCCCGAGACACCCTTCCGACGGATCTCCAAGCCTCCAGGAGGCTCCAGAAATCCCAGGGGGTCCGGGAGATCCCACACCCCTGAGGGGCCCTGCTAACAAAACCCGCGAGGCGCAAACAAAAACACAGCGCCGAACAGCGCCGAGGAACTGGAAAAACATGGAAATCCCACAATTCATGTTTTTCAAGTTTGGCCTCTGGTCTACTCTTGCACAACAGAACACAATTCAGACCCCCCTCACCTCCCCAAAAAGAACCCAGACAGCTTTTGAGGGCCCCGAATCGCTGCATACCTAAAAGAAAGTAATGATTTCTGCGTTTCCGCACTTCCCCTTCTATACGATTCCGAGGCTTGCGCAGGGCCTCCAAGGGAGTCCCTGGACGCAAGAAGCGACCACAATGAGATTACATGAGTTAGCCTATCAAGCCTAGCTAGAACTTCAGCGCGCGCGCGATGGTTCTAGTGTGTGTGTGTATGTATATATACACATATGTATACGTGTGCGCTGCGGCGGGGGCCGCCCCTCGCAACCGCAAAAACAGCACGCGCCTCTCGGAGGACTTGTCTTGTACTGCCGTGGGCTTTCGCCCGCTTTCCGCCAGCGTAAGCCAGCGGAGTCGCCCCCATCCGCGCAGAGGCGGGTGTGCGCGGAGGTGGGGTCGTGGCATGTCGTTACGCCGCCTCATCGACCTCGTCTCGCACAGGGCTTCAACGACTCTTGCGTTGCGCCGCACGGTTTGGGGCGGTAGGTGTGAGCCCTCGCAAAGACTAACAGGAGCAAGTGAATAGCGAGTGAAGAGAAAATGGAGGCGCCCCCGTTTTATCGGCCGGGCCCAGGCGCGTTTGCATTGCGTGCGCGTTTTTGCCGCAGGTGCGAAGGGCATTCTTAAAGCATCGCTTATACCAAGCTCCGTGGCGAGCGTGGTCTGGCCATGCCGCCTGGAGGAGAACATGCCAGAGTAGGCCCTGTACGACCAGAAGTCTCGTAGATGGCACCAGCACCAGAGTCGACGGCTGCCTCCACCGCTGGAAGGTCCTGGTCTCGGCGACGGTGGTGATGCCCGTGCTTCTCAGGTGGCCGAGGGATCACCACCAGCACCGGAATCCAGGATCGTCTCCACCCCGTGGGGTGGCGGGGGCCAACCCGTTGTGCTGGTACTGGTGCAAATGTCGAGACACCCAGTGCAATGCGTTCCCGTCGGACGTGCGCCTTCAGAGGGGGAGCAGGCAAGTAGGCACGTCGAATAAAAAGCGGGCCTGTCAGCAGGTGCCCCATGGACGTCTCTTATCACCTGAGGGCCCCAGGGGGCTGCAGAAGCCTTGGGCCACCCCAGGAAGTTCAGCAATTATCGACGAGCATGCCCCCAGAGTTTTGAGAACGGCATAGTCAGCTCCACGCGCTAGTCCGACTTGCTCCTCGGCAAGCACGCGGCTGCCTTCACGGCCTGCGTGTGCCTTCGCTCCCGCGTCAAGCTGGCCCTCCCTCCCCGCCGTCCCTTAGTGACTAGCGACTAGCTGTGCTCCAGCGCGTCCCGCCGCCAACTGACCGCCGTTTGGATCTCCCACGGCCGCCGGCCAAGACAACATGTAAGTTGTGCGCATTCCTGTCGGACGCGCGCTTCCAAACGGGGCACGCCGCAGGGGGCACGCTTTCCCGCGCCCCACCCTGCCTCCGCCCCGCCCCTGGCCTTTCTCGCCGCCCTCCCCGCCGAAGATACGAGGGCAGCCTCCCGATCCCCCCCCCCCCGAGAGCGCCTGGGGCTGGCTCCTTCCCCGAGGGCAAGCCCTCCCAGATGGGGTCGGGTCGGCGGCGACGTCCAGAGCCTGCCCTCGCCGACCAGCGATTCGGGCAACCCGATGGGTGGCAGGGGGCGGGGCCCGGGCGGCGCCACCCACCGGAGGGTCTCGCGCGCCTCCCATCGATGCGGGAGGCTCGCTGGCTCCCTGGGGTTGGGCTCGGACGTCGCCGCTCACCAGAGGATCTCCTGGCCGGCCGGCGGCCGCCGTCCTCGTCGCGCGGTCGCCGTCGTGGGCGTCGGGGTCGTCGCGGCCGCGTTGGTTGCCGTGCCGTCGTGGGCGTTGTCGTGGTGATCGTCCGCTGTTAGAGGCTTCCCAGATGAGGTCGGAGTGGCTGTCTGAGGATCGCGCCGCATCGCCGATGCATCAGCGATACGGCTTGATGTGGAGCCCGATCTTCTCCACGCGGACGTCGCCGAGGCAGTGCCAGCGCATCGCCCATGCATCGGCGATTCGTCGAAATCCTCCGACCCCATCTGCTCCGACCTGATCTGGGAAGCCTGCAGGAGAGCCCCCCGTGAGTGGCAGCCCGGGTCAACTCTGTTTGATCGTGGACCCATGGGTTAACTCTCAGGCGCGCCCGGGGAGGAAGGCAGAGGCTTCAATTTGGCTTCGGGGGCCTGTTGCCAGGACTGGGGGCCACCAAAACCAGGTCCAATCATTGGACCTGGTTTGGCCGTTTCTGGCCTCCTTGGGCTCTCCATTCGGCGGCGTGGCCAAGGGGCAGGCCAGAGGGGGCGGGCGTTCACAGAAGGCTCAGAGAGCCTACTTAGCCTTCTGGGAAGTTGTCGTCTGGGCCTTCTCTGGAGACAAGGGGGTTTCTCGGGAGGTGCGAAGGTTTTTGCGAAGGTTTCTCAGAAGCTCCGGCGGTTTCTGAGAACCCCTCTCAGTTTCCCCTGTCGGCGCGCTGCCGAGAAGGAGAACCATCCGCCGTTCTCGCCGAAGGCCATTGGTAAACGCCGGAGACTCCAGAAGACTACCCGAGACCGCCCAGGGCCGATGGGTGGCAGGGGGCCCAGCCCGTGGTCGAACACGCAGCATCCCATCCACGCCCCCCAGACATCCTCCAATTTTATTGCGAAGGCCTGACGGCCGGTGCCGCCGATCCTGCAGACGGAGACGACGAGCAGGACAAGGACGTTGAGGAGCAGGAGGCGGAGGACGTCAGGGAGCAGGAGGGAGCAGGAGGGAGGAGGAGGAGGAGGAGGAGGAGGAGGAGGAGGAGGAGGAGGAGGAGGAGGAGGAGGAGGAGGAGGAGGAGGAAGGGAACAGAAGGTCCACGCCCCCCAGACATCCTCCAATTTTCTGTGTTCAAGCCGCGGCCCAAGAGGGCCCGACCCCTGCCCCGTGCCAGCCTGTCGCCCCGGATCTGTTTCGGACGGCACCGGGGCCCGACGTACGGGAGGCCGCAAGCAGGGGAAAGCACAGGGGATGTGAGCTTTCGGGCCAGAGCTCGGGCCTCGGGCGGCCGTTCGTAACAATCCCGGCACCTCTGAAACGCTGTCGGCGAGGCGCAGCTGCTGGAAAGCTTCCCCCGGCTGGAGAACCGCCGAGATCCGACGACAACGCCCGACAGTTTTTCACCCCCACATAGGCGATGCCTTTCCTCGTCGCGACGGAGCCCCCAGAAGTCAGAACCCTTTCCCCAGGGCCGAAACATTATCCCGAGTCGTTTTTGGAAAGTCCCAGGGCTCGGCGAGCCCCCGGATGCCGCAACCAGCACTCCGAGGAACTCGGGGCCCGTGGGCCCGCGCGCCGACCTGGGGGAGCCTCGGACCTGTCCAGGGGTGCGTTCTGGCCCGGATCCGATGGAGACTCCAGCCGTGGCCGCGAGGGCGCCCCCGGCGGCCGAAAAACACCCGACAGCCTCGGCCCTCGATCTCCATCCGCGGCGGCGGCGCCCCGTCGGGCGCGGCCGCTCCGCCCGGCTGCGGCCCCCGCCCTCTGAGAGGCCTCGCGGCCGACAGGGTCGCGCGCGGGCTCGCCGTCTGCGAGAGGCTGGTGGCGGCAGCTGGCGGCCGCTTCGCCGCAGGCGCGTGTCCGCAGAGGGAGGGGGGCGCCAGGCGGGCAGGCAGGCCTGCGACAGGATACTTCACTACTTCTTCACGCTTCGCGCATCCCCACCAGCCCATTCAGAGACCCTGCCCGTGAGAGCCGACTGGAGAGAAACGAAGAGACGTATGGTGAGACAAAGCGGGCAACCCGGGCGAGCAGAGAGATCTCTGGAGCAAGGGGGTGGCCTTGCAGGGCCTCTTCGGGCCAGCGCCAGGCAGGCCTGCGACGAGGATAATTGCGTCGCTCCAGCAGCACGAACCCTGGAGGTGCGGCATTGCTGATGAGCAGCTTCGGTCCCTCGGCGAGCCTCGCACACTCCCATCACCCCCACAGGCAAGGTACATGTAAATTGCAACAGAGAGTCGTTCAATCCCAAAGTCTTGAGCAATGCCGAACTCGATCGTCGGCGACGAGGGTCTTCTTTTTCATGTGGTCAAGTCACAGCTTGCAGTCCGCAACTGGTTCCTACTCCTACCCCTACTCCTCCTCCCCGAAGGAGGAGTTGGAGGAGGAGGAGGAGGAGGAGAAGGAGGAGGAGGAGGACGAATATGAGGAGGAGGAGGAGGAGGAGGAGGAGGAGGAGGAGGAATAGGAGGAGGAGAGGAGGAGGAGGAGGAGAGGAGGAGGAGGAGGAGGAGGAGAGGAGGAGAGAGGAGGAGGAGGAGGAGGAGGAGGAGGAGGAGGAGGAGGAGGAGGAGGAGGAGGGGAGGAGGAGGAGGAGGAGGAGGGGCGTACCGAGGTATCCATGCCGCCACCCGCCTCTCGTCGCCACAGCTGAATTTGGCCTCGTAAATCCTGACCAGAGCGCGCTGCTGGCGAGAGGTCTGGAGCGCAGCGGCATCGGTACATTGTAGCTTCCAAAGCCTCATCCCTCGCATTGTGCTCCGTCTCCATCCTTCTCCTCCAGCCTCCTCCATTTCTCGCCTCTCCATCCTCCGCTTCGCGCCTCCTTATCCATCCTCCTCCAGCTTCTCTATCATACTTTTCTTCCTCATCATCGGCACTCTCTTTCTCTCGTGCCCATGCTGCATGGACATAGGTGGACCAGCGAGTGTGACTCATGCACCTTCAGAATGGGAGGGGGGGAGAGAGAGAGAGAGAGACAAACAAAAAAACAAAAACAACAATACATACATGTATAGAGAGAGAGAGATAACGAGATAAAACAACACATACATGACGCACATGCGACAGTGAGAGAGAGAGGAGGGAGAGCGCGCGAGAACGAGAAAGAGAGGAAGAGAGAGAGAGAGAGAGAGAACAAAACACAAAACGAAAGAGAGACCGAGAGTGAGTGAGTGAGTGAGTGAGTGGGAGTGGGAGTGGGAGTGGGTGAGTTCCGGAAAGCGAGTGGATGGGAGGAATGCCATCATGTCAGTAAGTTCGACACATCTCGTGCGACCGTCATGTTCAGGAGGTGAGGGCAGCGAGGCAAGGCGCGGAGAGCGTGTCTGCGCGGATACAGGTGGATGACGGCGGCCAGTCGGATGACCAGGAACAGGAACGGGAGGAGGGAACCGAATAGCAGGGCCCGGCCAGGCTGAGACCGCACCGTGCCTTGGCGCTGACCTTCGCCCGCCTGCTCCGTGGTGTGCCAGGCGGAGGTCGACATCGAGCGAACCGTCGCCGAGCTCGAGCGGGTCTCTCCGACGGGCAGGGTCCAGGAAACGATCTTCGACTTGGTGGTCACGCTCCTTGGCTCGGTGCAACTGCTGTACGTCGACGTGAAATTCAAATGCCCGCACGCTGCGCGGTACCTGCGTGTTGCGTCTGTGGCGGGGGACGCGGCTGCCGAGGCAGCCAGGGGCAAGTGCCAGCGTTACGGCAACGCGGTCCTCCACGTGGCTGTGGAATCCTATGGCCGGCTTGGCGCTGAGGCTGTCCAGTCCTTGGCGCCTGCATCCCTGATGCTTGGGCGGCCCCCAGGCTGGTCCCCCGGTGGCGGGCCACGCTGGAGCGCATCACCCAGTGGGCCGCTGCTGACGTCAACCTCCTCGTTCTCGGTTGCGCCCCGACTGCCGCCCAGGCCCAGCTGGCCTGGGGCCGCGTGCCGGGCGTGGCTGCGCAGCCGTAGCAGCCGAAATTGCATTATAATGTTGTGATTCGACCAGAGTTTGCTTCCAGGTGGTGTCTTAGCAGCAGCAGCAGCAGCAGCAGCAGCGGCAGCGGAAGCGGCAGCGGCAGCAGAGGCAGAGGCAGAGGCAGCGGCAGCGGCAGCGGCAGCAGCAGGGTGGCCCGAGGAGCAGCAACAGGCGAGAGGAGCAGGACGACGACTCGGAGGGGGGCAGCGGCGAGGAGGACGGCGGATGGCCGAGATCTGGAGCCGGAGGAGCGGGCGCGAGGTAGAACGGCGGAGGGCGGCCGGGCCAGAGAGGCAGAGAGGGGCGTTCCCTGCCGGTGCCCCCCGCAGAGGCGACGTGCTCACAGTGGCGGACGTGTGCCTCGTGCCGCAGCTGTACAACGCCAGGAGGCTCGGGTCGCCGTAGGGGCGGGCGGAGGGAGAGAGTCGGGAGCACCTTTATCGTGCCCGCTTATCTCGCAGAGGCCTTCTCCTCGTTTCCCTCCTCATCTTCCTCCTCCCCTGCCGGTAGAATGCTCGCCGTCCTCGTTTTAGTCCTTCCTCCTCATGTCCCTCACTCCCTCCCCTCTTGGAATTGGCCAGAGGCACCATCCCCCTGCAGGGCGATCATCGAAAGCGGCCAATCGGACTGGCGAGCACTGACCTAGCCTAGCTCGAACAGTTCAAGGAGTGCATCCTTGTGGTGTTTTCTCTTTTGTGAAGTGTAGCAGTCAGTGGTTCTCAGGTGGCTCCTGCATTAATTCATTCCTTCGTTTTTTCATATATTCATGGATTCATACGGTCGTGGAGTCTGGTCGGGTGGTGGCGCTCAGGGAACCCTGTGAAGGCTGTTCGGAAGTCCCCAAGGCCCTCAGCGCGCACGAGGCACGCCTCATGATATTCTAGGCGAGGGGGGCCGCTCCGGTAGCGGCTGAGGGTCCTGCGTCTTGGATGCGACTAGCTGCGGCACCCTCTCGAATTCCGGTTCCTCACAGGTCGCGTTCGAGCAACTTGGACGCGTTTCCTCAAAGGGTCTTACCTGGTCCTCGCCCTCCTCATCACTCACTCCCATATACATATGTATGTTTTCATTCATGCATGCACGCATGCATACATACAAACATACAGATATACATACATACATGCATACATGCATACATGCATACATGCATACATGCATACATGCATACATGCATACATGCATACATGCATACATGCATACATGCATACATACCTACATGCATACATGCATACATACCTACATACCTACATACCTACATACCTACATACCTACCTACCTACCTACCTACCTACCTACCTACCTACCTACCTACCTACCTACCTACCTACCTACCTACCATACATACATACATACATACATACCTACCTACCTACCTACCTACCTACCTACCTACCTACCGACCTACCTACCTACCTACCTACCTACCTACCTACCTACCTACCTACCTACCTACATACATACATACATACATACATACATACATACATACATACATACATACATACATACACATAGACATCGTATATACACATCTTCCTCCCCCCTGGGACACGCAAAAGGGTCACGGCATGTGGATCAGCGACGTGTCCCGCTTCCGTGCAGAGTCGGCGCGCTCCGTCGCCAAATTAGGTGGCGCTGACCTCCGGGCTTCCTGACTCAGGGGATACTTTCCCCGATCCGTGGACCCAGAGCTGGCGCCCACGGGCCAGATCCGCGGATCCGTCGTCCACGTTGGCGCGAGCCCGGCTCTCGGAGGCTGGCAGACCCCCTTTCCCACAGCGATTGGCGACTTGCCGTCTCTTGGTTTTCACGGGGGCTGTGCGGCGTCAGTTCTGTTGGTGGGCGTGCGCCTGCCGGGCCTGGTCCCGCGCCGTTTTCATGAAACGGTGTGATGCCAAAGGGGGTTCTGTCCACCCCCGATTCTCCTCTGGCACCCCTCCGCCAGGCCGAGGAGAGGGAGAGAGGGAGGACGAGGAGTCTCATTTGGCTGGAGGTCGGCGCCCCCCTCCTGAGCCCAAGCGACTGGTGGTCTGGACATGTCCTGCGCCTTTCGTGCGTCGTCCTGCCTCTGCCGCCCCCCCGCCCCTCTCCCTCTGGCTCCCCCCTCCTCCTCTCCCGTCTCCTCCATTGCCGGCCAGGAGGCGGACGAGGGATGGGCGAAACGGCTCGAAGGGGCGGGCGGCGAACGGAGGGGCAGTGGACGTTCCAGTGTTCGACACTTCCCGGGCGCCGTTGGGGGTTGTTTTCTGCGGCGCTGGCGTCGCCACAGCTGGATTCCCATCGATGGTCACTCCACGATTGGAGTTCCACCGGCTTCCAGACCCTGGAGTCCCGATCCCGCGGCGGTTCTTTACCCAATGCCCTCACCGTATTGTTTATCGAAGCGCACCCTGGAGGAGGTCCGGGGGGCGATTTTTCGAGAATAGGGGGTTCTCAAGTGGCGGTCTGGGGGCCGCCGCGTGGCACGATTGACCTCCGAAGTGCGCGGTGCAACGTTGACGGGAGATGAAAGCAGAGCGAGAGAGAGAGAGAGCGGGGGAGGGCTAGGGAGGCTTGGGGAGGGAGGGAGGGATGGACGGATAGAGAGGCAGCGACCGACAACGCCAACCAACAGTCTGGAAGGAGGCCCCCCCATGCCGCCGGGGTGGCGCAACAAACTATATGATGTTTTTGTTGTTGGGGGGGGGCAAACAAAAACAATAAGCAAAAACAATCGACCAGACCCCCCCTTGGCCGTCCGTTTTTGTTTGGAAGAAGACTCACGGCCTTTCGAGACAATCTCGCGGCTTCTGGGGTTGCCTCTGCGCATTCCCGGGACGTCCCAGAGTTCCAAGCTGTTTGGGGAGATCCCCTTCTTTGGGAGGAGCCTCAGAGCATCGCGTGCAGGATTCAAACTTACGTTGGGTTTCCACAGTCTCTGATCGAGGTTTTACAGCCATTGTTGGATGTATCGGGATTTTTTGATCAAGCTTGAGGGAGATTACTGGTAGGATGCCAATGGGTCTTTTGGGGATGTCGTAGAGTTAATGAGATTGGTCCCATGCGCCTTGGGCAAGGCAATGCATGGCATTAATTGGTCACGCTTGGCATTTGTTGGCCTCGAGTGGTCGTGCCAGGCGTTACTTGGCATTGGCTGGCTGCGCTTTGCATTGCTTGGTTGTGCTTGGCATTCATTGGTCGTGCTTGGATTTGATTGGCATTGTTTGGTCGTTCTTGGTATTTCTCGGGACTGCGTTGTGGTGCTTGGAATTGCTTGGCGTTTAACATTTGGTTGGTCGTGTTTGGCATTGGATGGTCGTGCTTCGCACTGCTTGGTACTGCTTGGCATTGCTTTGGTGTTGGTTGATCCTTGGCATTGCTTTGGTGTTGGTTGATCGTGCTTGGTAGTGGTTGGCATGACTGATCCTGTTTGCCGCTGCCTGGCACTGATTAGTCGTAGTTGGCGTTGAATGGTCGTGCTTTGCATTGGTTGGTCGTGCTTCGCATTGCTTGGAATTGAGTTGTCCCGCTTGGTATTTCGTTGCATTAGGCTATATTGCTTGGCCTTGGTCGGTCGTGCTTGTCATTGCTTGGCATTGTATGTTTCTGCTTGGCATTGTTTGGCAAGGAGCGGGCGTGTTTGGCAGTGGTTGGTCGTGCTTGGCATTGAGTGGTCGTGCTTGGCATTTAATGGCTGTGCCTGTGCCTGGCACCGGCTGCTCGTGCATTGCATTGGGGCGTCATTGCCTTTGGATTGAGTTGTTGTTGTGGTTGTTTGGCGCGCGCGTATGCTTCACGAGAGAACGGACAACATAAAGAAACATGACACATCAATCGACACAAGTTGTGGGAGAGCTCAACGCAAACACAAAGCAGCACTCAGCACCAGTGATCACAAGCGAGCAGCACTCACTAATACTGAGCAGCGGGGGGGGCGAGCATTGAGCAGCCTTGAGCAGCCGTGGGCACGTCCGAGCACAAGTGAGTGACGCTGAGCTTCACTGAGCAACGGCAAGTAAGCAGCGCGTAGTAGTGATCGGCAATGGGCATCAGTAGCCGCAGTGCCCTGGAGTTGGTCATTTGTCAGGTGGCGTCGGCGCGAGCCCCGAAGGGTTCTGCGTTCGAAGCTTGCCCGGTACGAGCGCCGAACACATGTACGACGATCGCTTTAAGCTAGCACCGCAGGGCTCTGCGCGCAGAGACGCCGAGAGGACAAGCCCCAACAGATTCTGACCACGGCGACGAAGGCATCGACGACGATGACTCTTAGCTTGCCTGGCACGAGCCTCGAAGGGCTCAGCGCACCGAGAAGCTGCGAGTACAAGCCACGACGACGACGACGATTCTGAGGTTGCCTGTCACAAGCCCCGAAGAGTTCTTCACACAGAGGAGCTGAGATTACGAGCCCCGACGGGGGCAAGACGAGGCGGGAAGGGCACCGCGGAACGCCACCCCCAGAACGCCACTTGAGACTCCCCCGCCCTCGAAGATTTCGCGGGGAGGGGGCCAGGCCTTGGACGGCCGCTGCGCTGCAGAATTTGCGCGTCAGGTATGACATCGGCCTACCAGCAGGTGCCCTTCGAAAGTGTCTTGCCCCCCGATGGCCCAAGGGACCCAATGAAGCTCTGCTAGAGGATCGACGAATTATTTTCCCCCACGCGTGTTTAACAAAAGGATGTATGATTATCGTTAGTGGCTACTGTGTGAGATCCTGGGGGGCGAGGGCCGAGGCAGGGCTGTCCAGGGAGGTGTCCAGGACTGCCGAGTGGGGGCTGCCAGGGCTTGCCCCGAAGTCCACAAGCTTTCGTTCCCTGCGATTTCACGCGCTTGCCCGAGTATGTTCTGCCGAGGGGCAGTTGGCAGACGGGGGCAGGCTCAGGAGTTATATACCGGGCAGCTGGATGCCCATGACGTGGCCGCATACATGTCCGGCGATCGGCCCAGCGTGGGGGCACGCTGCTTCTGTTCCCTGCATGGGCTTGGCCAGGGGCTGTTGATATGTCTGGATCTCGTCGCCTGGGTGGCGCGGCAGGACGGTCGGAGCGGCGGGCGGCGTGGGGTCCGCGCGCTTCCGCGGCCTCGCGCCGCCCTCCGCCGAGGCTCGGCGTCGAGCTGGCCGCGTTCCCCGCGCTGCTGCGAGTGGAGGCCGCGTGCGAGGAGTCCGCCCGTGCCGGGGGCCTTCCTTGACAGCTTTGCGCTGCGACGCTTCCGTGCCAGGCGTCTGTCGCCCTGCTTCTGCTGCGTACGACGACGACGACCCACCGACCGACCGACCGACCGCCTGAACGACCGACCGACCGACCGACCCACCGACCGGACGACGACGACGACCACGACGACGACGACGACGACGACGACGATGACGATGACGACGACGACAACACCACCACCACCACCACCACCAACACCACCACCACCACCACCACCACCACCACCACCACCACCACCACCACCACCACCACCACCACGACCACGACCACGACCACGACCACGACGACGGAGACGGAGACGGCAAGTGCGGCCTGAGAACCAGGCGTTGCACTTGCTTCATCTCGCGTGTTTCCGCCCGGTCTCGGGCCCCGGGGCCCTCGCAGGTCGGCCCGGCCTCGAGGGGTGCGGTATAATTTGAAGCTCGCTGAGGGGCAGCGAACGCGACCTGTGTTTTTCGGGGCGACGGGGGAGAGGGCAATGCTTTTGTTTCGGGGGAGCGTAAGACCCGGGTTTGCCAGGACTCGGGTTCGCCATCGTTTTTTGACGACCGCGATTCGGATTTTGACGAGTGGGAGTTTCGTGGGATGTCTGCAGCGGGATGCCTCGTCAAAATGCAGGCTCGGCCGCGTCATTTTTTGACGACCTCATCGGGGATTTCCGAGTCCACTGTACCCAGGTCTTACGTCCCGCTGATTGTTGGGCAAGAGCAAGCATCAGCAGCCCAATCGTCGGCAAAAGCAAACCCGAAATCAGAGCTTCTCGCGAAGGGCGGCTGGAAGGATTGCCGTTGTTCGATCAAGCGCGCCCGCCGAGCGCACGGGGACCTGGCCCTCGAAACAACGCTGCCCCCCCAGCGACCTTCATGCGCTGCACAGCGCCGCATCGCTGCACAGCGTCGCATCATGCCCTGCACAGCGTCGCATCGCATCGCATCATGCCCTGCTGGCCGCCCCCCTCCCTGTCGTAGAAGTCGGATTTCCAAGGGAGAGTTCCATCCATGGGATTTCGGGAAGCTCCGATCCGGTACCGTTTCAACGTGTCAAGGAAACCTCCGATCCGATTCCGTAATTATATTCAGTGCTCGAGCTTTCTGTGCGCGGTTGCATATCAGATAATCTGATTTGGCTCGTGAACGAGCCCACCCTTGTCCGCAGGAAAGGAGATACCTTTCCTATTTCATTATGCAGTTCAGTTGATATCGACATCGACTATATTTACGAACTCGCGCGAGTTACCCCGACGATATTGACACGATATTGGTAGTGCGGAGCTTGGTGTCAGTGGATTCTGACTATTCATGGCGTCGTCGAGCACGGGTCAGCAGGTAGATATTCAGAGGATTCTGGTGCGGGACGGCCGCACGGAGACACTAGACGAGTATCAGGCCGAAGTGGACCTGCCCACCGTGGCGACGAAGGAGGATGATGGGAAACTGCTGGGCCCACGTCTAGTGCAAGTGTTGCCCAAAAACTCCGCGCACAGGAAGCTGGTCGTCCGACTTCCGCGAGTCGAAGGAGAGCCCGACACGATGATTGGCGAGAAGGGCCTGAATAATCTGATCAGAGCGTTCCAGAAGAGTCTAGGCAAGCAGGCCTGAAGTGATGTGGTAGATAAGGTGTTCTCATATCACTATGACCAGAGAACATCGGGACCGAGAGTGAGGAAGCTGGGACAGACGATCGGGTTCTATGCGGAACAGTAGGAGGATGCCGATCAGGAGATGGAAAAGGGCGTGCGAGCAATATGCCCGGGCATGGACGTGATGGACCTGGTTCCGGACGGGCTGCGAGGCATCATTTTTCTGGTTAGTGCGAGTTTGGAACCGAGTGAGCGAACCACTGTGGTGGCAGGACTGCACGACTGGAAGATCGAGACACTCATTGACAAGCTGAAGTCCGTGTGGTCGGATAAAGATCTGACGGCCAGGGACAACATGATTTCAAGAAGGAGAGACGCGGTTCCAGAACAACAGGACAACCAGGCGGGCAAAGGTGAACTACCAGGAGGGCGACGACGAGGATGACCAACTGGTCTACTACGAAGAGGATGAGTTTGAGCAGAGAGGAGGCCGAAGCTCAGTATGAGGAAGAGACTGCGAACGAGGAGATCGAGTCGCTGGGGGCCCACGCAGAGGACGCTGATATCTATGCACAGGATGTCAACAAGACGCTCGCAGAAGCTAAGAAGATGCTGGCCGAGGCGGCAAAGAACAGGACTGGCTACTTCCCAGTCGTGGGCATCGGTCTGATCCCGGAGAAAAGCAGCAAGGATCAGAGGGCGACGGCAGCAGCAAAGTCGGCACTTCGCCCTCCCCGACCTCCAGGACCACAAGGTGGAGAACGGCCTCCCCCGCAGCAGTCGTTTGCGAGACGCCCGCAGAATGGTAAGGGCAAGGGCAAGTCGGTCAAGTGCTTGGTTTCCCAAGGACCCCATCGAGCTGTCGACTGTCCGAGGCGCGGCAACACAGGCAGCGACGGCAACAACATGCAGATGGCCGCCCAGTGCTTCGTGGACGCAGTCGGCGCCGAGGAGAACAACTGCAGCAATGAAGGAGATGCCCAGGAAGCAGGACAAGTCGGCTGGGTACATGAGGAGATAGTTGGATACGCGATCATCGACACCGGGGCATCAAAGAGCATGATTGGCATGGATCTGGCGCTCGCGATTCAGGAGACTATCATCGCCAAGACAGGCCTGGACCAGGTCGAGGTGGACTACGCCGAGAAGAGGAACTTCACCTATGCCGGAGGCGAGAAGGGTCAGTCCATAGGGACGTTCGGTTTCGAGCATCCCATCGCGCTGGTCGAGGACCAGAGCAAGCTGTGGTGCGATCTGGCCAAGACGAAGCGACCGATGCTGGGTCTGGACTATTTGGGGAAGGCTGGAGCAGATCTCATCATGGAGAAGTCAGCGCTCGTCTTCCCGGACGGGCGCGAGGAGCTGGTGGTGCGCCTGTCCAGCTCCCACTACGCCCTCCCCGTCTTGTAAGGGTGCCCAGCCGAAGGGGCCGTCGACGCCTTCGGAATGGGAAGAGGAACAAGTTGCCATTGGGAAAGTGGAAGAAGTCGCCCAGCCGAAAAAAACAACCAAAGTCAGAAGAACGCGGACATCAAGCGAGCTAATTCGCAAACCATTGCAATTCTCTGAGAACTATCAGAAGAATCACGACGAAATCACGCTCGAGAAAAAGAAAGCAAACCCAAGCGCTCTCGTCTACCTGACCCTCGCCGACCATCCGAACGAGATAGGCCCTGTCGAGAACATTTACGACCCCCCGAACGAAACGGGCCATGTCGAGAACATCGCCGTCTCCCCGAACAAGGAAGATATTTACGAGAGAAGGTTCGGGAACGAGAACGAGGTATATATTGGGGTATCTTGGGTACGGATACGGGTGAGATGACGGGGCATGCATATGAATTTGTTGTGAATTGTTAGACCACCGAAGATAATCGAACAACAGCGTGCCCCCCGCCTCCAGGGCCCCATGCGCGTCAAGCAGTCGCTCCGGGAGGAGCTTTCGTGATGGGCAGCCCCCAGGGACATGGGATATTTCACGGAGACCAGCGAGATCTCGGACGAGGAGTTTCAGCGATGGGATGCGGTCCAGCCGCCCGCCGCGGCGGGCTCTCGCTACTCAGCGCAGCAGTGGCAGTCTGCGCCTGCCGCGGCCAGTCGGGGGCCAGCGGGCTACTGCGACGACCTGAGGGCTCAGGCGATGGAGTTGCACGCAGCGACGGGCCCGGACACTATCGAGGGGCAGGGGGAGGCCGCGGCGCGTCAGGCAGCGCGAGACGGTCTGCTGGCGGAGGCAGCGCGTCGAGCACTGGCAGGCACACTTCCTCAGTCGCGGCGCTACCTGCTCGAAGAGGTGGAAGAAGCTTTTTGTCCAAGGACCACGGGGGGGGCTTTCAGTTTGATGCGGGGATCAGGGAGATACCCACCGTGGCGACGACAAGGAAACGAGCGACCAATCAATCAGTCACGACGAAGAAGCTCGCGGACCCAACGGAACCACCAGCGGCCAAAGGATCAAGTTCAGCCTCCGACACGACGCCGATGCCAACGAGCACAGCTTTCAACGATAAGCCACCGACGCAGGAGACCATCGACGTCGAGGAGGAGAGCACGATGACGATGAAGACGTCGAAGACCACCAAGACGAACAACCCCAAGAAGGATCCTGGGAAGGAGAAAGGGGCCACGGGGATGAACAGATGGCAGCGGCTGGCACTTCGGATTCAATCTCGGGGTTGGCGGCGTGCTCACGGACAACTCGCGAAGCATTCGAAGGGCGGGTGCCCCAAGAAGTTCACGGCAGCCAAGGGGTCCGGGAATCATATAGGTCACTGGGGCTGGCGGGAGATCGCCTGCGAGTGGTGAAGGACCTGCCTCAGCGAGTCCGACATCGAGCTCTACAGGCAGCCATCACCATCGACAACGAGAAGACTCGCAAGTTCATGGCGGCGGCCAGGACTCATCGAGCCGATCTTCCAGGGGTCTGCGTACCCCCCGACAGGGGCCTCAGTAAGGAAGTGGAGAACATGGGAGGCGTCATTTCGCGTATGGGACTGTTCAACATGTTCGACTTCAGTAAGAAAACGGCAGTCGCCAAGGCGAAGGAGCAGATCATGAAGGAGAGGCCATGATGGATGCATGCGTCGCCTCCCTGTGCCCCATTCTCAGCACTACAGAATGGACGACCCAACGCAGTGGAGTCGCAAGATGGGCTGGTGAAGTTGTGGAAGTGGGGTCGCCGAGTGATAGGGAATGTACTTGAGGGGCTAGTGTACGCCCGGAAGGAGCTGGGCACCGAGATCACCCTCGAACGCCCATTAACTGCAATTTCATGGAGGAGCATTCCAAAGATATTCCACATGTGGCAACAGCTACGCGAGTCCATCACCAACGGATGCGGCTGGGGCATGAGGAGCAACATCATTGGA